CCCCAAAACCCCAAAACCCCAAAACCCCAAAACCCCAAAAATGGGAAAGAAGATTGGGAATGATATTATACCTCGGATAGGGCTATTCTAGAAAATTATTATGATCCATAGAGATTGATCCCGAAAACATAAATTCTCTTTTAGAAGCTTCCAAAGCTTCAATTTCCTCCTTTGCATGCTTGAAATTACTCCTCTTCCAAGCTAATACGAGGTTGTCCATTAGCATTGAGATTGTCATTGGGCCCACACCTCCAGGGACAGGAGTGACATATCCAGCTTGTGTTTTAACACTTTGGAAGTTTATATCTCCAACTAAGCGTTTTCCACTTTTTCTAGATTGGTCTTCTATAAACTGCGTTCCGACATCGATCACGATAGCACCTCTTTTTATGAAATCTCCTTCAACAAGATAGGGGCATCCAGTTGCTGAGACCAAGATATCAGCTGTTGAAATCTCATCTCTCAAGTTTTGTGTATATGTATGACAAAGTGTGACTGTTGCTAACTCTTTTTGTAAAAGCAAGGATATTGGCATTCCTACAATATTGGATCTTCCAATAACAGTTGCTTTCTTCCCTTTGATTACTGGGCAAACTGATTTGATCAATCATATTATACCTTTGGGTGTTCAAGGCGTGAAGAAGGGCTCCTCGTGTCTAGCCATAGCACCCATGTTAAGGGGATGAATTCCATCCACATCTTTTTCATGCGATACAAGGTCTCAAATCTGTGTACTGTTATATTTTTCAGGAAGAGGCAGCTGGACAAGGATCCCACTAACAGAAGGATCTGAGTTGAGCTCTTTGACGTACTCCTCAATCTCTCATTGGGATCAGGATTCATTAAAATTTTGGCCGATAGTGTCTATTCCGACTTGTTTTCAGACTTTATTTCTTCATCTTGACATAAAGGTGAGAATCTGGCTTATCTCCTACAATAACATAGCCAAGCTTAGGTCTAGAGCTATGAGAGGGAGCAAATGTATCTCTCAAATAGCTGATTTCCTTCTTTAACAAGGATTTGATCTTGTTGCTAATTTTCCGCCCATCAATAATCTGAGCATTAGAGGTCTTCTCAGCATCAGCTGTGAACCCCGTGTGGGGACAAGTTTTGGATGAGAAAAGTCTCAGATTTCTCTGAAACAGTTTCAATGAATGTTCTTTTGGAACTAACAATCTTGCAAACATCTAAAAATGGCGAATCGTGAAATTAAAAGCTTGGTGAATATTAATTTAACTTGATTCAAATCTTTTTAATCCAAAAGGGGTTTTGGGGTTTTGGGGTTTTGGGGTTTTGGGG